GCCTTTGTTCTCTGGCTGGCGGGAGCCCCGGAGCCGCGAGCCACCTGCCGCGGGACGTGGCCTTGCCGCGGACGCCCCGCAGGTCCACCACGATCGTTCAGTGGCTGGCGTCGCGGTCTTCAAACGCGGAGCCGCCGAAGTTGAATCGCAGGGGTGTGACCGTCACCTCCACTTCCCCTGCGTTTTCACATCTGCAAAATGGGGAGAAACGCAGTCCACGGAGGTGGGTCCGGAGGAGGCGCCTGGGCCCGCAGAGTCGTTCCCCTGGCGCTGAGTTCATTACTGATCCCGGTTCTCAGGTGGACTGGGCCACGTCTAGGACTGCACTAAAACATCAGGCTAGGAAGCAAACGTTGGAAGGACGCGTGGCAGACCGCGCGTTAAGACACAGGGAGCCAGAAACGTGGAGAAGTCCATCTCTTAGCAGACGCTTTATTTCCTGAGAGTGTAGGTGGCTTGTTTCTGGCAAGAGCATGTTCTTGGATTTAAAGTACAGTGTGGCTCCCTCTGTATGTTATTGGTGCCTACAGTCAGCAAAGTGTGGAAATACAAAACGGATTATTTCTAGACCATGATGTTAATACAAACGGCCTCCAGTACTCTCCCAGCCCTCCCTTTCCTGACTTTTTCACTTGTACCAGATTAGAGATGGCATCCCCGACGAAACAAGGCCATCCAACTGCTCCTAAATCAGACTTTGCTTCTCGCACAAGTTCAGTCAGACAGCACCCCATCGCCCTGCCTAGAGCGCACTTGAGAAAATGGCCTGACGTCCACTGGAGGAGTGAGGGGATGAAAGGTGTCTGGCCCCCGGTGTGCAGCTGCAGGCTGCTGCCTCAGCTTTTGACTGAACCCGCCAAGAAATGCCATCGTTCCCCAAAATTCCTTCCCTGATCAGAGCTCTCAGATTCTCTGGATAGAGTGTGGTGTTAAAAAAATAAAATAAATTTTAAAAATAAGTCTACTTATTTGGTCCTCTTATCCCTTGGGTTTTTGGTCTCTAGATCGAATATAAATTTAAAATTCTTCATTCTAAGTCAACAAATACTTATTCAGCTTTCCATTATGCAAGGCAAGGCAGAATATTAAGGAAGCACCTTATGGATGCCTGTAGGGAGCTTCAATGCTAATATGATACAAACATATCATTGTACTTAAAGGCAGCTCAGGTGGTAGAAAATTTATTAGCAACTACAAAAATTAAGATATCAAAGTTGACACAGAATTTGAAGTGTCTTAAGAGATAGGTAGGACAGATACAGGTAGATGTGCAATTGGAAGTGGAAATGGGTTGCAAGCCAAAAAAGACTGAGTGGTGGGAAATTAGCAGGCATATTTGTTACCTAGCAGGGGCTCACTGACCCTATCTGCAAGGTCAACTGGCATAGAGACAGGAGTTACAGCTCTCAAATCTGTGTCCCAGAATTCAGGGCTGAACAAGCTTTTAAAGGGGCACTAGGTATGAATCAGGCCATATGACCAGGTGACAGGAGATGGGCTAGTTCCAAGTTGGGCCAAATACGGTAATGAGGCAGCATCCATTGGTCAGTTCTGAAAATAGTCCTTTGGTTGGTCTAATCTGGATCTAGCAGTTTGGTGGAGAATGTCCAGGTTCCTGAGGTCATCTGAGGGGCATGGTCCTCTCTCTGCCCCAGCTCAGCTTATACCCTGAAAGACAGCTTTGGAATAACTGGAGATAGGAAAATAAAACCTGTTTTAAACGATTACAACTACTTTTAGACAGTTAAAACTAGTTTTAGACTTACACATTCAGATATATCACTTCTGGTTTGGCTTGAGAATAGGATAAATGAAGGCAGATTCTAGTTAGGGATGGAATATATAGGAGGCAATATGATGTAAAGGAGAGAACAAACATTTAGAGTTAAGACTTTGGTTTGAATCCCAGCTGAGCCGCTCATTAGCTGTGTGAAAGTATGTAAATTATTTAATCTCACTGACCATTTTCTCATTTGTAGAATAAAAATAACAATGTCCAGTCAATTATTACACAAATATTTTATGGCAAACCAACTATGACCTGAAAACTATATTAGGTAATGGGGATATAAGGAATCATTCATTCATTCATCAAAAACTGCCTTACTGTTTACTAATAGGCACTGGCAAAACAGTAGTGAAGGGGAGGGTGAACAACATAAAACTGTATGAGACCACTCAGAACATGTAGACATAGTCAAGAAAAAGGCCCAAGACCAAGAAGTCCAGAGTTACTTAACCTATGTAAGATAGAGAAGAAGGAAGAAAACTGTGTGATGGATTTGGGACATGGCTGGAGCCATTGTGCACACAATAAGCACCAGCATGAAACAGCCTCCGGCCTCATCTTCCACTCCAGCACCAAGCCCCTCCCCACTTCCCTTTACCAGAAGCCTCCTGACTTAGAAACAACTCTCCACCCAGTTACATCAACCTAATGGTCTCCCCCCTCCCCCGTACATTTCGCGTCCAAAAGCTAATATAAGCTCCAACTGCCCTATATTAGGGGCTGTCCCCCATTTCTAGGGCAGCTCCAGGCTGCCTGCCATTTTGAGCACAGCCCGGCAGATTTTCTTCCTTTAATAAAGCTTGAACGGTACCCGCATCTAGGCTCACTTTCTTTCACTGTGTCATGTATTGGAAACCGAAAAGGATAGAGTGTTTCAAAAAGAGGGACTGGTCAACTATGTCAATGAAAAAGTTGAGTAAGATGAAGACAGAGAAATGTCCATTGTATTTAGCAACTTTGGAGCAATTAGCTGTCTTGACAGTTTCAAGCCGTTTCAGTGGAGTGCTGGTTTCAGAAAGTAGATCGAAGTGGATTAGGGAAGGAATGGGAAGCTAGGAATTGGAGCCAGAGTATAGGCAACTCTTCTGAGAGATTTTATTGTAACAAGTAATAGAGAAAGAGGGTAACTGGAGAGGTGGTGGTGGTGTTTTTAAGATGGGAGACACTAGTGCATGCCGCTGGAAGACAGACTGTAAGGAAGCAACAAGGAATTGGACCCAGAACACAGGTGTGGCAATATGCCTTGGATAGAAAGATGCACGATCCATCCATTGTAACAGGAAAGACAAAAGGTGGCCGGCTACAACTGCAAGAAGGTTTAGAGATTTGATGTTGGAAAACTTGAAGGACTTTTACCTCTGAAAGCTTTTGTTTCCGTAATAAAATACAAGTATAGGGTGAGATCATCAGCTGAAAATGAGAAGAGGAACATAGAAGGTTTGAGGAAAGAGAAGGTGTGTCAGAGAGTAGGAAAGCAAAGTCTCTGGGATGCCAAGTGGTGTGCCTACTCGAGGCTGGTGGTCATGAATTTAAAGTGAAGCTACTCAGTCTGGTTTTGTGATGTTCTCAGTCAAGTCTAGCTACTTTGATTTAGGTTTGGACAAAGTGGATAATGGGGTTCATTCAGGAAGGGGTTTTCCCAGGTGAAGAAGAGGGGCAAAAGAATTTGGAAGGTGTTTGTAAAGGAGTGATTATAATGGGCCATGAAATCTAAGCTGAACAAGGAAGAAAACAAGAGGGCTGTGAACAA